CCTTCTAGAGGGGGGGAGTATCTATATATAATTGGAATTTTTTTTTTTTTTTTTTGAGAGCATCTCACTCTGTCTCCCAGGCTGGAGTACAGTGGTGCGATCTCAGCTCAGTGCAACCTCCGCCTCCTGAGTTCAAGCAATTCTCGTGCCTCACCTCCTGAGTAGCTGAATTACAGGCGTGCACCACCATACTCAGCTAATTTTTGTATTTTTAGCAGAGATGGGGTTTCACCATGTTGGCCAGGCTGGTCTTGAACGCCTGGCCTCAAGTGATCCACCTGCCTTGGCCTCTCAAAGTGCTGGGATTACAGGCGTGAGCCACATGCCCAGCTCTATTATTGGAATTCTTCTGCAAGAAAGATCTAATTTTTGGCTGAGTGCAGTGGCTCACGCCTGTAACCCAACCACTCTGAGAAGTGCAAAAAAAACAAAATTACAAAAAATACAAAAATTAGCCACTGCAGTGGCACACACTTGTAGTTCCAGCTACACAGGGGGCTGAGGTGGGCGGACTGGTGGAACCAGGGAGGTCGAGGCTGCAGTGAGTCATGACTGTGCCACTGCACTCCAGCGGGAGCAACAGCGCAAGACTCTGTGTCAAAATTTAAAAAAAAAAAAAAAATTTTTTTTAAAGAAAGAAAGATTTAACTCTTGAGAAGAGACAGAACAAGGTGGTGGACTAGAAGGCTCCATCAATCGTCCCTCCCGCAAGGACATCAATTTAACAACCATCTGCACAAGAAAAGCACCTTCATGAAAACCAAAAATCAGGTGAGCATTCACAGTACCTCTTTCAACTCTGTGTCGCTACAAGATGCACTGAAGAGACAGAAAAGATAGCCTTGGATTGCTAACGCCCACCCCCCAACAGTGACAGTGTGGTATGAAGAACATCTCCAGGCGCTGGCAGAGGGAGAGCACAGCAATTGTGAGGCACTGAACTCGGTGCTGTCCTATTAGAGCAGATAGAAAAACTGGACCAAACTCAGTTGACATCTACCCGCGGAGGGAACATTTAAACCAGCCCACACCAAAGGGGAATCACTGATCCCAGCAGTTTAAACCTGAGTTCCCACAAACCTTGCCGCCACAGGCTAAAGTGCTCTGGGTCTCTAAGCAAACTTGAAAGCCTGTCTAGACCGCAAGGACTGCAGCTCTCAGGTGAGTCCAAGTGCTGAACTGGACCCAAAGACAGTAGACAGTGGGTGGCAGAGGGGCGGGAAACACAGTCTCCTGAGACACTAGCCAAGGCACCTACGGGAATCCTGGCATCATCCCTCCTCTAACCCTACACTGCACAGCTCGCAGCTCCAAAAGAAGCCCCTCCCTTCTGCTTGAGAAGAGAGAAAAGAGTGGGGAGGACTTCATCTTGTGTCTTGAATACCAGCTCAGCCACAGCAGAATAGGGCACCAGTCAGAGTTGTGAGGCACCTGTTCTAGGCTCTAGCTCCCAGATGACATTTCTAGACACACCCTGGGCCAAAAGGGAACCTGCTGCCTTACAGGAAGGACCCAGTTCTGGCAGCATTCATCATCTGCTAACTGAAGAGCCCTTAGACCCTGAATAACCAGCAATGATGCCCAGGTACCATGCTGAGGGCCTCGGGTAAGCCTCTGAGACAGCTCAGCCACAGGTGGGTAGAGCACCAAGCAGGCCCCTGGGGTCCCAGATTCCAGGATCTGACTCTTAGGTGATATTTCTGGACCTGCCCTGGGCCAGAAGGGAGCACACTGCCCTGAAGGGTGAGTCCCAGGCCAGGCAGCATTTACCACAAGCTGACTTAAGAGCCCTTGGACCTTAAGGGTGGTAGTCTGGCAGTACTCCCCATGGGCCTGTAGTGGTGGTGGCCACAGGGTGGGGCTCCTCTGCCTTTGGAAAGGGGAGGGAAGACTGCATCTTGTGGTTTAAGTGCCACCTCAGTTGCAATACCACAGAACACCAGGTAGATGTCTAAAGTTTTTAACTCTAGTCCCTGACTCCCAGGTGGCACCTCTAGACTGAGGCACCGTCTGGGAAAGTATGTCCCACACAGCACCTGGGGGAGCTGGCTGCTCTGAAGGAAAGGATATAGGCCTGGCTGGTATTGCTACCTGCTCATTGTAGAGCTCCAGGGCCTTCAGTGAACACAGGCAATAGCCAGGGAATGGTTACAGCGTTGGAATAACCTAAAGACTCCACCAAAAAACTATCAGAACTAATAAACAAATTCAGTAAAGTTGCAAATTTGGTAAAGATACAAAATCAACATACAAAAATCAGTAGCATTTCTTTTTTGTTTTGTTTTTGTTTTTGTTTTTTTGTAGACATCTCACTCTGTTGCCCAGGCTGGAGTGCAGTGGCTTGATCTCGGCTCACTGCAACCTCCACCTCCACGGTTCAAGCGAGTCTCCTGCCTCAGCCTCCCGAGCAGCTGGGACTACAGGAACACGCCACCACGCCTGCCTAATTTTTGTATTTTTAGTAGAGACAGGGTTTCCCCATATTGGCCAGGCTGGTCTCGAACTCCTGACCTTGTGATCCACCTGCCTCGGCCTCCCAAAGTGCTGGCATTACAGGAGAGAACCGCCGTGCCTGGCCCTAAAAATCAGTAGCATTTCTATATGCCAACAGTGAACAATCTGAAAAAGAAATTTAAAAAGTAATCTCATTTACACACATAAAATTAAATATCTAGGAATTAACCCAAGAAGTGAAAGATCTCTATAATGAAAACTATAAAACACAGATGAATGAAATTGAAAAGGACACCAAAAAAATGGAAAGAGATTCTGTGTCCATGGATTGGAAGAATCAATGTTGTTAAAATGTCCATACTACCCAAAGCAATCTGCAGATTCATGCAATCCCTATCAAAATACCAATGACATTCTTCATAGAAATAGAAAAACCAATCCTAAAATTTATATGGAACCACAGAAGAACTAGAATAGCCAAAGCTATCCTTAGCAAAAAGAACAAAACAGGAGGAATCACATTACCTGACTTCAAGTTATACTACAGAGCTATGATAACCCAAACAGCATGGTACTGGCATAAAAATAGACACATATGCCAATGGAAAGAAGAGAGAACTCAGAAACAAATACACATACCTACAGTAATCTCATTTTTGACAAAGATGCCAAGAACATACACTGGGAATAGACAGTCTCTTCAATAAATGGTGCTGAGAAAACTGGATATCCACATGAAGCAGAATAAAACTAGACCCCTATCTCTCACCATATACAAAAACAAAAATCAAATCAAAGTGGATTAAATACTTAAATCTAAGACCCCAAACTATGAAACTACTATAGGAAAACATGGGGGAAAATTTCCAGGACACTGGTCTGGGCAAAGATTTCTTGAGCAATACCACACAAGCATAAATAACCAAAGCAAAAATGAATAAATGGGATCATATCCAATTAAAAAGCTTCTGCACAGCAAAGGAAACAACAAAGTGAAGAGACAACCCACAGAATGGGAGAAAATATCTGCAAACTACCCATCTGACAAGACACTAATAACCAGAATATATAAGAAATATATAAGAAAGTCAAACAACTCCATAGGAAAAAAAACTTAATAATTCCATCAAAAAATGTGTAAAATATTTGAATAGACATTTTTACTTTTTTTTTTTTTTTTTTTTCTTTCTTGAGAGGGAGTCTCACTCTGCTGCCCAGGCTGGAGTGCAGTAGTGCGATCTCAGCTCACCACAACCTCTGCCTCCCGGGTTCAAGTGATTCTCCTGTCCCAGCTTCCTGAGTAGCTGGGATTACAGGCACCCACCACCACACCTGACTAATTTTTGTATTTTTTGTAGAGATAGGGTTTCACCATGTTGGCCAGGTTTTTCTCAAACTCCCAACCTCAAGTGATCTCCCCCTCTCGGCCTCCCAAAGTGCTGGGATTACAGGCGTGAGCCACCACACTCGGCCTGAATAGACATTTCTTAAAAGAAGACATACAAATGCAAATGAATATGAAAAGGTGCTTAACATCACTGATCATCAGAGAAATGTGCATCAAAACTACAATGAGATATCATCTCACCCCAGTTAAAATGGCTTATATCCAAAAGACAGGCAATAGCAAATGCTGGAGAGGATGTGGAGAAAAGGGAACCCTCATACACTGTTAGTGGGAATGTAAATTACTACAGCTACTATGGAGAATAATTTGGAGGTTCCTCAAAAAACTAAAAATAGAGCTACCATATGATCCAGCAATTCCACTGCTGGATATATACCCAAAACAAAAGAAATCAGTCTATCTAAGAGATATCTGTACTCCATGTTTGTAGCAGCACTGTTTACAATAGCCAACACTGGAAGCAACCTAAGTGTCCATCAACAGATGAATGAATTTTAAAAACTGTGGTACCTATACACAATGGAATAGTAGTCAGTCATTAAAAAAAAAAAATGAGATCCTATCATTTGCAACAACATGGATGAAACCAGAGATCATTATTTTAAATGAAATAAGCCAGGCACAGAAAGACAAACATCATATGTTCTCACTTATTTGTGGGATCTAAAAATCAAAACAATTGAACTCATGGATGCAGTGGGTAGAACGATGGTTACCAGAGGCTGGGAAAGGGAGTTGGGACAGGAACGGGGAGATAGGGATAGTTAATGAGTATTAAAAAAACAGAAAGAATGAGTAAGACCTACTATCTGATAGCACAACAGGGTGACTGTAGTCAATAATAATCTAATGGTCCATTTAAATAACTAAAAGAGTGTTAACTGGACTGTTTATAACACAAAGGATAAATGCTTGAAGGGAAGGATACCCCATTCTCCATAATGTGATTATTATCCATTGCATGCTTGTATCAAAACATCTCATGTACCTCATAAATATATACAACTATAACATATGCACAAAAAGTAACAAAATTTTTTAAAAGATTTAACTTCTCTCCCCTAGTCATTTATTTAAATGAGTTTAGACTCATGTACATTTATTTTATAATTTTAGTTATAATCCAATACTACCTTACCTATTTTGTTGCTTTGCATCAATCCAGCTTCGGACGCTGGAAAAGAAAGAAAGTCACTTGTGAGGAAAGACTAAGGGAAGTGAGGGAGCCAGCCACAAAGTCATCCAGTGGAAGAACATTTTAGGTCCCAAGGTGTGACAGCCTGGTGTGTTTAGGGAAAAACAGCAAGGCCAGAGTGACTAGAGAAGAGGGAATGTAAGGGAGAATAGCAGCAAATGAAATGACAGAGGTAACGGTGAGCCGCATCATAGAGCTGTGCAGGCCAAAGAAGGAGCTAGCCCTTACTTTATGTGAGAAGGAACACCAGAGGATATTTCTGAGCACAGGAAGGCATGGTAGAAGGATCACTGGCTGCTGTGTTGAGAAATGACTGCAGGTAATTAGGACAGAAGGACGGAGACTAGTTAGATGCTACTCAATAATCCAGGTGAGAGATCATGGTGACCATAGGGGTAATGAGAAGTGCTCAAATTCTGGATACATTTTGAAGACAGAGCTGTTGGGATTGGCTGTCAGATAGAATGTGGGGTCTTAGAGAAAGAAAGGGGTCAAGAATGACTGTGAGGATTTTGACCTGAAAAATTAAAGGGATAGAATAGCCATTAACTGAAGTGGGGAAAGTTGCAGGTGCTCAGTTTTAGACATGTTAAATTTAAGATGCCTATCCAAGTAAAGGTGTCTAGTAGGCAGATGGATCTGAAGTTCAGAGAAGTCTAGGTTGGAGACAAAAAACCTAGGAGTCATCAGCATACAGATGAAATGTGAAGCCATCAGACTAGATGAGTCACCAATGCTGTAAGTGTAGACAGAGAAGAGCAGAGGTCCAAGGACTGAGCCTGGGGCATTCTGGCACGTTCTGGCACTGAGAGAAATCAAGACTTTCTTACCTTCTCTTTAATCAGATACAAATGTAGCAAGTTTTTTTTCTCGTCCACTGTGTACCTCGAACTGCTCTGGATCCCCTAATTCTCAGGACTCTCAGAATACAACCTTAATTCTCCCTCACCTTCTCTGTAATTCTCCATCCTCAATCTGTTCTGTGCTGCTGTACACCTGGTCACCATGATAAGACAGTCATTACTGCCACCACCTCTTTGCAAGCTGTTCCTCCCACCTGGAAAACCCTTTATACTCCACCTCATCAAATACCACCTTTTTCAAGCCCAACTTATCTCCTATCTTTTCTCTTCTCTGAAATTTACCTAATTACTCTCTCAGTGAATGAGTTTTTCCACCAAAGCAACCCTAACACTCCAATGACTACCAGCGTTGAACCTCTGTAACACTTGATGTCTGTACAATCAGATATTTATCAGTTATTGACCTGTGTGGCTACCTAATTGTATATAAACTGCGTAAAAATGCTGTAGCTTCCTTGAAGAAGAAAAGCATATCTACCTTTTCTCTTCCCTCCAAAATAGCCTAGAACAAATACCTACCATATAGGAAGTGCTCAATACATTGTGTGTGAATTGCTTCATGTCAGTTCTGTTATTCAATCAGTCACCATGTTCCCTGAGAGTAGAGACCTGTTTTGCATCTCCTCCATTTGATTCTGGGTTAGACACAGGTAGGCAGGCATTCAATAACTGCTTGCTATCAAAGGGGTTGATGACAATGTGAGGTCTCTGGGGACCTTACAATCTTGGCACAAAACAATGAGAATGTGTGTTCTGTTCTCGCTGCCCGATCTCACCTGAACCTAGCTATTTCCTGGACAAAGAAGAAGAATCCAGGGACCACATAGAGAAGAAATTCCAGGGCATCTGATGTTAATGCAGAGAGATACTCAAAATCATGGTGTTATCTAAAATGCCTGGAAAAGAGGTTGCTTTCACTGAAATGCTGGGCAAAAAGAATCAGAAAAGACAAGCACTTCTGTGTGAATCCTAAGAACACAGAGAATACATCAAAATAAATACAAGTATATTCACTGACGAATTATTTACAACAGTGAAAAACTGGAAACCATCTAAATGCCCAACCATAAGAATTAAGTTTAATTTGGTATATTCATACACTTGAATATATTAAAGAACAGCACCTGGAAAATGTTCACTTTATGCCTAAGGCTCACTTTATACCTATGTGCTGGAGGCTCTAACTTTCAACCTCCATTTCTAAAGGGAAAGTATCTGTCTCGAAATAGTCTGTACAGTATGATTGCACTTTTGTGCAAACAACTGGAAGAACACAAGCCATGATGTTAATTTGACATCTGCACAGTAGGATTTGGGTGATTGTGTTGTTGTTGTCTCCCTTTGTGTTTTTCTATGTTTTCCAAGTATTCTGCTTTGAAAACATATTACTTTGTCAGCAGGCAAAAAAAAAAAAAAGAGAAAGTCATTTTAAAAACAAACATATAAGAGCCAAATTCTCAACTATCCAGGCATCTGACTGCTGAAAGTCTCCTACTTCCAATATAAAATGCAAGAATCCTAAGGTCCAGCCCCCTCCTCCCATTCCTTTCCCTCCCATACCACCCAAGACAGAAAACAGGTGAAACTAAGATCAAGAGCTGTTTTTCGTTTGTTTGTTTTTTATCTTTTTCGAGACAGAGTTTTCGCTCTTGTTGCCCAGGCTGGAGTGCAATGGTGCGATCTCGGCTCACCGCAACCTCCACCTCCCAGGTTTAAGCAGTTCTCCTGCCTCAGCCTCCTGAGTAGCTGGGATTACAGGCATGCACCACCACACTTGGCTAATTTTGTATTTTTAGTAGAGATGGGGTTTCTCCGTGTTGGTTAGGCTGGTCTCGAACTCCCAACCTCAGGTGATCCGCCTGCCTCGGCTTCCCAAAGCGCTGGGATTACAGGTGTGAGCCACTGCATCCAGCCGATCAAGAGCTTCTTAAGAGAAAGATTTCTGTCCTTTTGATCTTTGGTCTCCCACCTCAAAATTCTCAGCACCCTGTGAGGCATTAGGTGCTCAGTAAACAAGAAAGGGAAGGAAGATGTAGTGAACTTACAAGGCATAGATACCACTACTGCAATGACATCCCCACCGAAGGTACCCCTCCACCCTATTCTAGGTCTGATCCCTTTGCCTCCTATCTCTGAGCATTGCACAGGCCCGCCAAGCAGCTCTTAGAATAAGAGTTCTGATTCTTTGCACCCCAGCAAGTATTCCTCTTTTGCCTTTCCCCCCACTCCTTTCCTTCCTCCCTCTTCTTAAAAGGTGATCTTGCCTTTTGGCTAGTACAATGTGCTGCACTGAACCAGTGTGCCAGTCAGTCTGTGGAGAATCACTGAGAGAATGAATTTGAATAATAAAAGCCAGAACAAGGCGATACCTTGGAGAGAGACTTGGTGTAGTACCTTCAATTTAGAACCTCATTTCAGTGGCTAATGCAGTTGTTGGAGACATTAGCCTAATTTTTGCCAGGAGAGTCCAGCAACACAGCAGTACTAAACATGGGCACAGAGGACCCTGCTCATCTCAGAGACAAAGTGTGCAGAATGAAATTAGCAGCACTGCACTTCTGGTGCAGAGGAAAGCAAATTCTCACTCCCCTCCCCCAATTCATCACCAATCATCTTTAAAATGAAAAACACAGAAATGTGTGTGGGAGTCAGCACAAGCATGAAGTTCAAGGGAAGCCAGGACCCTGAAGAAGTTCCCAGGAGGCACTTAAGGACTATGGGAAAGTTCATTTCAAAGGACATCCAATAAATGCAGCCCTACCACAGATCTTGTCATTGCCAAGCCCTATTTGCTGCAGGCCTGGGAAGGCTCCAGAACCTGCTGGCAGGTCAGTTTGTTGAGGCCAGAAATGGGAAGGAGAGCCCACAAAGGCCAAACTGGAAGAAAGAGGCTCAGCTCTAGACACATCTACACAGACTGGGGTGGAGGTTCCTAAAACAAGGGCTTCCTATTGGCTAGGTTAAAAAGAAGCCACACCTGGTCTGGTCCAGATTTGTCCTAAGTCCCTCCCTGTGTGTCAGCCTCCACGCTGCAGGAGCCAAGCAGCTCAGGACCTTTCGCTCTGCTGTAGCTGTGAGCCTTCAAAGAGGGGAGCATGCGGCTCAGACGTAGCAACAATAATTGTAGGTGACAGACTTGGCAGGGGCCTCCTGGCTCCTCCTAGACCATGCCAACAATGGGTCCAGCGTGGGTCTCCCTGGCTAGCGAGGCTGAAGAAGGCACTCCTTGCTCTGGTTCTAATAGGCTGGTAGGCCAGAAGTGCTCTCTCTGCCCCTGCTGGTCTCTCATTGCCTCTGATTCCCCAAAGTCCCACTCTGCTCCCTACTCTTACTCAGGGTCCTTTTGTCTTATCTAGAGATGGGTAAAAGGAAGACAAAGTTGAACCAAAGTCTTCATAGCCAAGGATTTTCTGGAACCTAATGCCCCTTTTCCTCTCCTCTCCCCCACCAGAGGGCAAAGGAAAACCCAACGTTACCAGTAACTCACTTTCAACAGTCTCATGGCCTCACTAGCACTAGCCTGGAGGCCTCAATGACCCTGACATATCAACATAATGACAGACACAAGGACACCTGCATATCCAGATCCTTGAGTGGGTTAGTAGGACTGCCAATCTTTTTGTTTGAATTGATTCCCAGGTAGGCTGTGGTTAAGGATTAAGGCTTAAGGCCCAGGCACTCTGCTATGCCCTCACTGTATTTAACGCAGCAGTAGGCACATGGCAAGTACCCAAACACCTCAGAACTTGAACTCTTCCCAAGGGTCTCTCCGTGAAGTCCCAGGAATGTGAGACACTGTCCTCTTTTCCTTACAGATACTAAAGGCCAACCCTAGAGAAGAAGGAAGGGCTGCTCAGAGGAAAAGCGGAAGAAATGAGAGGCTAGACAACCCAGACTCCACCCAAGAGGCACACGCAATGAGGAGAGCAGGACAGGGATAGGGGGGCAGGACTCGCCCTCCATACACACAGCCTGCCTGCCAAAATTTACTGGATGGCAGGAATCCTAGATCTGTGGGTGAGGATTGAGTCATGTTATGAATCTCCTTTTTCTAAGCAGCCTGTGAAAAAACTCCTCCATCTCAGGAAGAGAAGGTGGGGAAGAGGGGGGCGATCT